CACCTGACCCATCCTTCAAATCTGGGGAAAAGCAGGACGCATTTGTCGCCACATTTGGAGGACTCTTTGAATTTGGACAGCCTTTATTGCATTGCTGTGACATCATTGCCTACAAATGCAGCCTTCAAAGCATGCTACCCCTGAATTTGGACACAGCAAGCGTCTCCCTCATAGTTGTGCGTGTTTCCACGTGCTCTTTCCCATGTGCTTAGTTCCTAGAGTTTCCCAGTTTAGTTTAGTTTTGTACCTTTTCTCTTGTGTCACCAATAAAGCTGCTTTTGAGTTCACATTTTCGCCTCTGTGAAGTGTGTGTTTGGGCCCTCGTCTCCTGCCTGCACACAGCTGCTCCTGACAGAACAGGCCCAACACTGTCATTGTTTAATGGTTTTTAGCTTCTCTCAAAAGTTGTTTTATGGCTTTAATATTTCCAGCTGATAATGAGACCTACTGCCTTTTAAATGCATGCCCAAAGGCTTTAAACATCCACTGTGTCTGTAATGACAGTATCAACCTAGAGAGCGTTGTTTTTTTTGTTTCTTTTTTTTTACTAAAATTCAACCTTTCTGGATGAAAATATGGCTGTGTTTTGTACTACCAGCTTTAAAAGAGCACACAGGGTTCGAGTTTGAAATTTCAAACCACTTTATTAATTTTTTTAAACGGAACAATAAAATACAGAGCCTGAGAGGCTCTACCCACTCGGAGGGATCACATATAAACAGAGGTGTGGACTCGAGTCATTAATTTTATGACTTTAGACTTGACTTGAAAAAATGTTTTAAGACTTGTGACTTGACTTGGACTTTTACACCAATGACTTGGGACTTGAACCTGTTTACTTGAAAAGACTTGATATTTTACCCCAAATCTGAAATTTTACACACATATTATATAAAAAATGTGTATCATTAATTCATTTCATTAATTCTTACCACACTCCGTATGTATGTGTGCGTGAGCTGTAGCATAGCCAATCAAATTAACCAGATTTTAAAAAACAAAAACAAAACGCTCAAGCCAAAAATGCTCCCAAGAGTAATTTCTTTCAGTAAATAAACTACAAAGTAGTCAATAAAAAAACGTAATGCTATATGCAGAACATGCAAGAAGAGAATCACAGACGAAGACAGAACAACTTCCAACTTTGTCCGACATTTGAAGTTGCATAAAGAGTGGTAGGTGGTAGCTAACTTCATCTTATTAGCAAATGTTCTCCAGGCTACATTGATGATACTGTTTGGTTTTAACATGTATGATATTTTTGTCATGCTATTTTAAATCAGGTCCTACAAGTGCATCCAAGAATAACATGCAGCTTGTTAGCTCAGAATTGTCAGTGAATGGTGAGCGAAGGTCCGTTTCAGAAAGTGGGTTCTGTAGCCGAACTCAGGGAAGACATTTTCTTACCATCTCCTCCCCATCATTAACCCTGTAGATCTAACCCCGCTTAGACTGACAAATATTTATTTTACCATCAAATCAAAATTCCAAACAACTTAATTTGCAATTAGTGCATTGCGGTGTTTAACTTTTGCATGGCTTTTATCTGTTACGGACAGGCCAAATGCAATGTCTGGCCCAGTGAAATTTCTTGGTTAAAAAAGTCTGGCCCATCTTAGTGTGTAATTGAGTAGCCTTGCTATACATGGCCTTTTCTTCTGTCATTTATGTCAATACATCACATAAAATATTTTGAGTGCTCATATCGTATTAGCTGTTGTTTATTTACAAACGTTAGTTATTCTAAACAGGGATGCTAAACATTGCTTATTAGAACTATATGCAGTATGAGTTTTGAGAAAAGTGTTTTGATTTGAAATCATTTTTATAATTTTTTTGATTGTCTGAAAACTATGAGGATTTATTAAGTGTTGATATTTATTTAGGATTAGTAGGAACAACCTAAAGTCAAATGCAATTCATGAATGGCTGTAATGGAATTTCTGACATCAGTTTAATATGCTTACCTCTACCAGATTTGAAGAACACCAGATGAAAAAGAGGATCATAAATGAACCTCAACCTTCCATATCACAATTTCTGGACACTTGTGCCAGCGTGAGTCATCCACAGCAGAAAGTCATCACAAATGCATTATTAAGTGACTAGATTATTGGTTGCAACCTGCCCCTGTCTATTGTGGAAAACAATTGGCACTTTCTGACAGTAGTTGACGGCAAATACAGTCACAGAACAATTACATCAAAAACAGAGAACCTTGCTGCTGAGAAACCTTCAATGGTAAAAACTCAGTTGAGCGAGACTGATCATGTTTCAGTTACTGTGGACATTTGACCGAAAAGATGAGGAGTTTCCTTGGTATCACTGTGTACTGGATACAGAAAGAGACAGAGAGGATACAGCTGAAACCCAAACTGCTGGCCTTTGACCATTTCAGTGGGTTACACACTGGTGACAGAGTCTGTGAGAAATTTGAAGCTATATGTGACAAATGCAACATCAAAGATAAACTAGACCAGTGTTTCCCAACTTTTTGGAGCCACGGCACATATTTCACATTGGAAAATAAATAAATAAATAAATAAAATAATCACACAGAACACTATCAAACACAAATGTCACAAAAAGCATATTGATCATTTTTCCTGTGGACCAGGCATAGCAGAATTGGTTCAGTTTGTCCCCAGTATACCACTTTTGCTTTCTTCTGACACTACTCATGCTAGGGCCTTAACCAGGGTTGGAATTTTTTCCAGGACCCAGGTCAGATTGACTACTTTTTCTTTTCAAATATTAATTTTTATATTTATATATTGCGCTGTGTTGTCTCACTCACAGCATGACTATTACATAATTTCTTCTTTATCTTCTTCTGTTTTACTGGCAGTTGGCAGCCCATTTAATTAGAGCAGGTTGTACTGCCCTGTAGTGAAAGAGAATGTAATTATTCTGCCTGTTAATCACGCCGGTCGCTTCGAGTACTAATCAGGTGGAACCAGATAATCTTCCATGGCACACCTGATCATTTCTCACGGCACACCTATGTGCCGCAGCACAGCGGTTGGGAAACACTGAACTCGACTATATAATTACTCACAATACTGCCAATATGCGAAAAGCATTCACTGTGCGCTTCCCCACTGAGCAAGGTGAGGAACATGATAATGATGGAGATCACCTTGAGACCCAGAACTCTGGCACAACTTAACCTTGGAAGATCAGGAAACAGTAGGTACTGCTATGGCAAAGAACCAGCACCTGCAGTGTTTTGCAAACACACTCCAGCAAACACACTCCAGGTTGTGAGAGATGGGTTGTCAGAGACCAAAGTGGCATCTCCTTCTCTTTCAAAGTTATCTAAACTCAGCTCTCTACTGCACACAAGCACAAGATTCAAAGATGTGTTTGAAGCTGAATTTGGTGAACAGAAAGCGATCCCTGCTGCTGTAATCACAAGATGGAATTCAACACTCAGACAAGTAAAGGCAGTTGTCCAATGTAAAAACTTAAAACTCTTTGCTGTTCTTGAAATGGCTGGGCACAGGGAGTTATTATTCATAGCACAACAGTGGAATCTGTTGAAGGAGATGGTGGATATCTTGAAGCCTTTTGGAGAAGCAACAGATTTGGCACAAGGTAAGAAAATCATCACGATCAGTGCTGTTGTTCCATCCGTGCTGTCCCTCAATCACCACCTTGAGAAACGGAAGCCTCACGTACATTTCCTGAATGGTCTGTTCAGGAGTCTCCAAGCTTTGAACAAAAGATTTCTTGGAATCTTTATCAGTGTGCGAATGGCTAGAGCAGAAGATGGGATCACTGCTCCCTTTTCAGATCCAGTGTACCTCAACGCAGCTGCTTTGGATCCGACATTTTCTCTGTTGTGGGTGGAACACCATGTGTTTAACACAAAGTTAGAGATAAAGACTGAAGTTATTGTATATTTTTCCTGTATTTTTTTGTCTAAAATTGTAATAAGGGCTGTTTTGTTAATATTTTATTATATCTTTTCATGGGACAACATTGAAGATATGACACTTTAGATAAAATATAAAGTAGTCAGTTTACAGCTTGTATAACAGTATAAATTTGCTGTCACCTCAGAATAACTTAACATACAGCCATTAAAGTCTAAACCACTGGCAACAAAAGTGAGTACACCCCTAGGTGAAAATGTCCAAACAGTGCCCAAAGTGTCAATGTCCATTATTTTCCAACACTGCCTTAATTCTCTTGGGCATGGACTTCACTAGAGCTTCAGAGGGTGCCACTGGAATCCTCTTCCATTCCTTCATGATGACATCATACAGCTGGTGGATGTTAGAGACTTTTTGCTCTTCCACCTTCAATTTGAGGATGCCCCACAGATGCTCAATTGGGTTTAAGTCTGGAGACATGATTGGGCAGTCAAGTCCCTTTACCCTCAGTTTGTTTAGCAAGTAACAGTCCTTTTGGGGGTGTGTTTGGGATTGTTATCATGTTGGAATACTGTCCTGTGGCCCAGTTTCCGAAGGGAGGTGATCATGCTCTGCCTGAGTATGTCACAGTACAAGTTGGCATTCATGGTTACCTCAAGTAACTGTAGCTCCCTAGTATGAGCAGCAGTCATGCAAACAACGCCATTCGACCACCATGTTTGACTATCTTTGTACTCCTCACCTGGTTGCCCCCCCCATCATTCTCCACTTGCTGTCCATCTCAGAAAAATGCCCAATTTGCTATTGCATCAATCTATTATTTAATTATCCACACTTAACAGCTCTTGCAACTAATCCATAATAAAGCAATGATGGAAACATGTTATAGAACTATAACACTGCAATTGTGTTTATTATTGTTTTTATACTTGAATAAGTCTGCAATGCAACAACTGGTACGTGTGTTATTGTTACCTGTGCTCTTTTTAATCCAGGTGGGGAGGGATCCACTGCCTTTAGCAGCCTCACACAGCTCCTTTTGTCACCGTTTCCTCCTCATGTCCTTACAGGGCATGTCTGGACAATGTTATATCATGAGTAATAATTAAATAAAATCTGTACACATAAAACACACACACACACACACACACACACACACACACACACACACACACAGTGACATTTTATGCCTTTTCCAGAATACTGTCTCAGAAGGGTATGCGCATGATTGAGCTTTGTGCTTCATTCTCTGTCTGTGATTTAACGTCTGTGTTTTCTATAACTTATTCTCTTATAACACCTCCAAGAAGTAATGATGCTGCACTCATACATTTGTGTGGCAGCAGGAGGTGGGGACGGAATAAATACTCTTCACAATTTAACAGCCAACGCCACGCTGGGAATTTCACCCAGAGAGTACTGGATCAAGATGATACTAATCACCAAGAAGGCACTTAGGTTCGTTATACTCAATACAGAGACGTGGTTCAATGATAAAACAGGTTGACAATTTATTAATAATTATTTAAAACAGCATATAAAAGCACAAGCATACATATCAATATACAAATATTCTAAAAAGTATTCAGAGCCGGGGGTTACCAGTGGAGGGACAGGAATGCCACACACAAAAACAATTCAAAAAAACGGAAAACTCACCGATACACAAGTGCAGCGCACTGTCACAGGCTCACAATAATGAACTAAAAACACAGGTGTGTAATACTCAAAGGATCCCACCACCAAGGCACCCCAGTCTCCTCCACGTCTGGCCCTCCGCATCTGAATAAAAGAAACAAAGAAATTATAATATATTCCAAAAAAAGAGATCCAGACATACAAACTAAACAAAACCTTAAATCTGGAGCGGATGTACTCACCGTATTATTCCAAATTGCCGTCTGCCCGACTATTCTAATTTAATCATTAAACGACATCAACATGCACGCCAGTGGACTCCCGTAGCCGGCATGTATGTAGCCGCTGTCCACGCTGATGTCCATTCTTAAGAGGCTGGCAGCAGCAGGGAAAAAGAACCCTTGCAAATGGAAACAGACGGGGAAAGGCAAAGCAGCAGTACGTCTGTTAGCTCAGCGTAGAAAAGCCGTAGCGACCCTGGTGTAAAGCTACTGGACGCCCACTAAGGCCCACACCTCCAGTTAAACGGTGTCACTCGATATATTAACAGAGTGGCTCATAGGAGGCCACTCTGGTACACATGCGCCAAATCAACACATACCAGCCACGATGGGGGCTTCAGGAAGGGAATCCACGGGTGATCTCTGTAACATGAACAACAATCAACACGAGTACTGCCAATTCAGGCTGAGGCAGCACTGGAAGTCAGGTGACCGAAAGGAGATAACAACAGGTACGTGATGCTCAGCTGGCGCCCCCTAATGCACCTGACTAAAAGTGGGATCAACCAGAACATATACAGGGAGTGCAGAATTATTAGGCAAGTTGTATTTTTGAGGAATAATTTTATTATTGAACAACAACCATGTTCTCAATGAACCCAAAAAACTCATTAATATCAAAGCTGAATGTTTTTGGAAGTAGTTTTTAGTTTGTTTTTAGTTTTAGCTATTTTAGGGGGATATCTGTGTGTGCAGGTGACTATTACTGTGCATAATTATTAGGCAACTTAACAAAAAACAAATATATACCCATTTCAATTATTTATTTTTACCAGTGAAACCAATATAACATCTCCACATTCACAAATATACATTTCTGACATTCAAAAACAAAACAAAAACAAATCAGCGACCAATATAGCCACCTTTCTTTGCAAGGACACTCAAAAGCCTGCCATCCATGGATTCTGTCAGTGTTTTGATCTGTTCACCATCAACATTGCGTGCAGCAGCAACCACAGCCTCCCAGACACTGTTCAGAGAGGTGTACTGTTTTCCCTCCTTGTAAATCTCACATTTGATGATGGACCACAGGTTCTCAATGGGGTTCAGATCAGGTGAACAAGGAGGCCATGTCATTAGTTTTTCTTCTTTTATACCCTTTCTTGCCAGCCAGCTGTGGAGTACTTGGACGCGTGTGATGGAGCATTGTCCTGCATGAAAATCATGTTTTTCTTGAAGGATGCAGACTTCTTCCTGTACCACTGCTTGAAGAAGGTGTCTTCCAGAAACTGGCAGTAGGACTGGGAGTTGAGCTTGACTCCATCCTCAACCCGAAAAGGCCCCACAAGCTCATCTTTGATGATACCAGCCCAAACCAGTACTCCACCTCCACCTTGCTGGCGTCTGAGTCGGACTGGAGCTCTCTGCCCTTTACCAATCCAGCCACGGGCCCATCCATCTGGCCCATCAAGACTCACTCTCATTTCATCAGTCCATAAAACCTTAGAAAAACCAGTCTTGAGATATTTCTTGGCCCAGTCTTGACGTTTCAGCTTGTGTGTCTTGTTCAGTGGTGGTCGTCTTTCAGCCTTTCTTACCTTGGCCATGTCTCTGAGTATTGCACACCTTGTGCTTTTGGGCACTCCAGTGATGTTGCAGCTCTGAAATATGGCCAAACTGGTGGCAAGTGGCATCTTGGCAGCTGCACGCTTGACTTTTCTCAGTTCATGGGCAGTTATTTTGCGCCTTGGTTTTTCCACACGCTTCTTGCACCCTGTTGACTATTTTGAATGAAACGCTTGATTGTTCGATGATCACGCTTCAGAAGCTTTGCAATTTTGAGACTGCTGCATCCCTCTGCAAGATATCTCACTATTTTTGACTTTTCTGAGCCTGTCAAGTCCTTCTTTTGACCCATTTTGCCAAAGGAAAGGACGTTGCCTAATAATTATGCACACCTGATATAGGGTGTTGATGTCATTAGACCACACCCCTTCTCATTACAGAGATGCACATCACCTAATATGCTTAATTGGTAGTAGGCTTTCGAGCCTATACAGCTTGGAGTAAGACAACATGCATGAAGAGGATGATGTGGACAAAATACTCATTTGCCTAATAATTCTGCACTCCCTGTAATATTCATCCTTCTACATTTGCATTTAGGAAATCACAGCAAAAGTGGAATCCATCTTTGAACATACTTAACATATCATGTTTTTGTCAAGTCATTTTAGGCAAAATTACATAACATATTTATTGCAGTAGGAGTGAAAATTAAGTTAGTAAAGAATGATGAGTACTCTAACATGCTGTTATACTAAAACTCACAGACTAGTGAATAATCATTGTTAATGTTGAGATGAAGCTTTCTTTCGTCACATACACACAAAGGTAAATAAACTAATTTGGTTGAATAATAAACCAAGGTTAATGGAGAAAAAAACATGTCTACCGTATACAGTAACACTGAGGCATGGACGGATTTGAATAATGTGAGCTTAATATTCAAACTGGCTTATCCGGTCTTTGAGTCTGACATCATTAGCTGTCATTTGTCCAAACTCCACTTCATGTCCCAAAGTCAAATGAACATTTCTAAAAGTTAGAAGTTTTAGAATTAGAAGTTAGCAGGAAGTTAGCTCACTAGTTTCCACCTAAACATAATATACCATGTTCTGACTGAGGGATTTCTGAAAAAATTCAAAAATACCGCTCTGCTATCACTTCCAGCATAAATGAAGACAGAAAACTAAACAGTAGTGATGTCTGTAGGGTTAATGAAGTTGGGATAGCTGGTATATAATGATGTGCTACGTGGTGGCTAGCTACACCACGTAGCAAGTCAGGTTTCACCACCGAATAAGAAAAGTAAGAAAGAAAAGATGAGGAGTTAAAAATGTGGCCTCCACCTGTAAAACCTTTCCTGGTTTTTGGGGTTGTCTCATTGTTGCCCCTCTATTGCACTTGTTGTTAAATTCATTAACACCAAAGCAGCTGAAACTGATTAATAACCTCCTCTGCTACTTAACTGACCAGATCAGTATCACCTAAGTTTAAATGACGTGGTCCTATACTTTCTTTTGAGCAGTATATAAGCTAAGGTAAACCTATTACATTAATGAGGCAGTTAAAGGTTGTGAACCTTGAATGGAGAAAGTGCGGGACATCCTGCTAATTGCGGTTTACTAACTTTACCTTTACTTGAAGCTGCTGTAATCACTGGTATTTCCATGAAATAGCTTCAAATAAAGGCAAAGTTAGCAAACCACAATTAGCAGGGCGTCCCGCACT